GCCCTACCCTACCCAACCCATGTATTTGTAAATTAGTCTATTTTTATTTAATTTTTATGCAAATTAGCCATGTTCACCCTCAAAAATAATTTTCTTATTTACTTCTTTTCGTGTTACTTGCAGTTGGTAATCATTCTTTCTTAAATTTAAGTCTATATATTGAGTGCATGATTCTGATAAGAAAATCACCTAATAAAAGGTATAGTTTACTGGGTAAAAAAAAATAAGATAAAATACTCTAAAACTAAAACCTTACCTTACTCAATGTTTCGTTAGCCCATTACTTGAAATACAGAATTTTTTTAATTATAACTAAGTTCATAATTATTTTTTTTTTAGATTATTTCTCAAAGACCTGAGTGGAAATCCAAACAAGAAAAACATAAGAAATGAGACGTCCATCCACAGTATTTGCATGTGCGCTAATGGTCGTGACCAAGCGATACAAATCAAACGAGCCGAATGTATGTACATGATGTTACAATGGGAAGGTGCACTTTTGAGAAATGGAGAAAGAGAGAAAGCTGACATCAATGCCATAGATGAGGTAAATATTTAACATGTGTCTGGAACTGCAGGCATTATTTTTTTTCAAAAACATTTCTTTAGCTTTCATTCCTCACGCCACATGTACATGGTATTATCTTCAAAAGCATACCATGACCTTTATACTGCTATTTTCAAAAGACATATATCGTATTTGCTCTGTTAGGAGTGCATTTCCAATAGAAGTTCATATAATATAAACAATTACATATACCAACTTAATTGAATTGTGCCATTAGGCCAAAAAACAAACAAACTAATGTTGCCCTCAAGTCGGAAAATTGAAAAATTTGGGCTGTTGGATTTTTTTTTTTTTTTTTAAACTCGTGGAAACTAAGGGTATCGTAAATAGCCAAGGTATATGGGAATTAATCAAACGCATGCTAGATATTAAACACAAAAATCGAAGTGTTTCTTTCAGTCTTTTTGCGACTCGATATTTCCTATTTTTTTTTTGGCCTTAAAACATATACATTGTACATTTACATCATGCATCATGGGGAGGGATGCCGTTGTTTTATTTGATTGTCAGTATCTCTGACCGAATTCACTGATGGAAATTATTATCAGCCCCTTGGTGATGAAAGTGACATAATTTTCAGATGTACCCATTTCATCTTAGTCCCAGCTATGGTTAATGCATTATTACATGTACCTTTGCCAGGGAAGGTGATATGTCTTAACTTAAAAAGTTGTATGATGTCATGATATTTTAAGAGAAATTACCTTGTGATAAGGACCAACCAAGTACCATCTGGTTGCCATGGCAATGAGAAGTTTGGGAATAATTTTTTCACCATTTTAAGTTATGGTTATTGTCTGTGGGAAGGATAACTTAAAAGGTTATTAAATTATCATGAAATTTTCAGCAGTGATCTTGAGAGATTCAGATCTAGTTGCCATGAAAACAAAAATCTTTGGAAGGCCTCTTCACCAATTTAGTTTAGTTCCATAAGCCTAGATATAAACAGGGAAATAGTTCTGAAAATCACTTTTACAAAGTTGTCATTAAAACCTGGTTTGAAACCTACTAAAAGGTAAATAGTGATTTCCTAATCCATTAATAATGTCTATTCTCATCTGTTATTTCAAGTTCACTAATCTTTGTATGTAGAGGCTGTCTGTCATTTATACATCCTAATATTTGTTTTTAAAACCAAACTGATCTACTCATCAAAATGGTAATGGCATTAACTGATGGCTCTGACCTTTTGCCCACTCTGACTGATTACTGTGATACAGTCATACTCTGCGTCAGACTGGATAGATACAATACTTCATTAATGCTTAATGATAATATTCCAGTCATATATTCTATACAGTGCCTACATTCAATTGATTTTTTTACACAAATGAATCATAACTGCAACTGAAATTTTAATATCTTGCAATAACATGAGATACACAGCATAAAATAACATTAATTTAATAGTGAGAATATAGTATTACAGAATCAACTGTTAGTGAAAAATTAGCTAAATGGTATGCCCAGTAAAAGACTATTTTTTTATAGTACATTGACGTATTTGTTCTATAACCAAGGTGTGTCTTTGGTCAAACTTATTGTATTTTTTTAATCCAACTTACAGTACAA